GAGAAAAATCTTTTTTTGTACATTTCTCGTTATAGCCTCGATGGTCCTTCTATAAAAGGGAGAGACTCGAAGGTCTCGACATGAGATCAGTCTCAAGAGCATTGAGAGAGTCTTTGCCTTTTAACCTTCTTGCCTTCCTGCTCCCCTCCTTTGCTATACCTTATCTCTCTCTTCAGTAAGACTCCCCTCATACGTATAAGACTTTCCGGTCATCCTCTACCTTTCAGGGAGACCACTCTTTGCCACATTACAACCATACTTRTTACTTTTTGTTAGTTTGGGATTTACTTTTGGTTTCAAAAAGCAAAGCCATAAATATTTGTAAACACCCTTTGAATGGGTGGCATGTTTGAGATTGAGTGGTTAACTACCTAAATCCAAGTAGTAGTATTCAATGCAACAAGGGATTTCAGTACTTAAGGCTGCATTTGATTGCGGTGGAAAAATCCTGTGTAAAAGTCAATCCGTCGGTTTAAAATTTCAATGGACCATTGGGGGATTTTTTATATGAGAATCGATGTATCATTTACATTGATTTACGATAAAAAAGTTAGTCAAAAAAGTGGTTTACATTAATTTTTGGTTTAAATTTTATATTGGAAACAAATAACCGAAAAAGTGAACAAGGTGTGGACTTTTACACCAATCTGCTTTTACACAGGAAACAAATACGTGTAAATGCAAATCAATGATGGAGTTTTACATCGATTCGCATTTACACTGCAATCAAACACAACCTAAGTCTACAATCCSAACATCAAAGATTTAAGCAGCTATGCTTAATCTCTTATGTCTATATAGATGTTACTGTTGATTGCAGGAGTACAACAATGGCAAAGAGAAAATGTATGGGTGTTTGCCAATGTGCATGGATTTATTTTTTCAGAAAAAAAAATTCCACCATTTTTTTTCTTGAAAAACAAAATTAAACCCTAATGATGAACCAAGTTTCACAATCTTCTCAAATCACAATTATTTCATAAACTATTAACAAGTCTATTGGGATTTTGTAAGTTCTAATAGAATTTCGTTGGTTACCACACCTCATGGTTGTTCTTCAAAAGATTTTCTCAATAATTTACTTGGTAATTAGGTAATTTTGAGGAATAAAATGAAAGAACTCGTTAAATCATTACCTCGGTTCAAGAGTGGTTGAAAATGATTGAGGGAAAAATAGGTCCAAAAAGTGGTTGGAAATACTAATTGTGGGAAAACATTACCTTTAACCTCTTTTAAAAAAAATCCTTAGACCTATAATACTATCCATTAAATGGTATCACCACCACCATCATCATCATAACCATCTAAACGTTGTACAAACTAATGAGGGGTTGGCCCTCCAATCATATGTGCCATGTGGCTAACCTGAAATGATTAATAACACGTCCATGCCATGTGAGACCGGGGCTCATTTGGCTGGACCAGCTCCGGCTACATGAATTCTGTTTCACCATTCTATTTTGTTCATGCCATATCCATCATTAAATTAAGTATTTAAAATCTTAAATAATTTCTCATTACTTTCATCCAAATCCTTCTCAATCTGCCCGTACTCATTCTAGCCCCTCAACTTGTAACAGATCACATATTTGACAAATAAAACTAAACCAAATATTGCTGATGCTCAATTCTCTAGGTAGGATCTTCATTGATTTATGCAATAATCTTTTGGGATTTAAGGTTTTATATTTTGAAAAAATTGTCCAATCAGATGCTTGGGCCAAGTTTGGGGTTTGAAAAATAAGTACATAATGAAAAGTGCTTAAAACAAATAATAAACACTTATGAGTATTTGGTGAAAAAACTATGCTTATTGATCTGGTCCCATCCCAAAATAAATACTTATTCCAATAAGTACTTATTTTTAAGCACTCCCAAACTTAATACTAGTTCTTAATATTTTTTTCGTTATTCCAAAACTGTAGGAAAGTTTGTTAATAAGATTTAATTACTTTTATTCAATATCTAGTCTATATTATTTTATGACATTTAAAATTTTGGATATATTACATGTTATAATGTTGCCTCTTGGTTGCATACTTGCACCCGGGCTTGGCTTTTTTCAAAGTTTGAATGGGCCTGACCCGAACCCTGAGCCTGAAATAATGTACAACCGAACCTAACCCCGGCCCATGAATATGTCAGCTAGTATGATTAAACTATTTACGTTATTAATAGATCTTATAGCTTTGCCACCTCATCAGCTGCCACGTTAATCAGACTGTTATTGGCAGCATTAGTATTTTAGAGGTAGAGAAGAGGGTTTTATTGTAATTTGACCAATCGGTTTGAAAGTTCAGATAAGGTTAGCTGTTTTGAGATAAATAGATATAAGGAACTTGTTTTTTTAACCATGCGTTTGGGATGAGGAGTGAGAGGAGATAAAAACTCTTTCTCCCAACAACAGATAAAAACAAAACAAATGCAACCACACAAACCCTGCAAGAAGTAAGAGCCAACCCTGACACTATCCAAAATAATCAACACTACAAAAGATCTCCCAATCTTGACAGGTGTAAAGAATAAAAGAAAATAGGATTCCAAAAACCAGACCGCCATTTATGGTTGGGCCTCATCAACTCATCAAGATATTTCCTCTTCACAACATGTGAGTACAAAATGCAAAGAAAAAGATTTTTGGTCTCTTTATCAAAATCCCTACCTAAAATCATCATCATCATTATTATCATTTAAGTCTTGATCCCAACTATACTATATGGGGTGGGCTAATTCATATATCCATTGTTAAGTTAAATTATGGGTGTTTAAATCATTTTTTATTATATTTACTTAAATCTTTTTTTTTTAATTTTAGTGTGTAATAAATTACTTCTTCTGATGGGTACTGTACGGATGGTTGTTTTATACACTAACCTATCCAAACTATAAAAACTGTCATTCAACCAACCACTGATTCATATCCAACAATAAAGACGAATATCCTTTCAAATAGAACTAGGGCTTCAAGTCGAATTGCTCGGATCTAAGAATTTCAACTACATTAGGCCTGCGTTAAAGTTCATGTCCATTAGATCTGTTCACGGGTCGGGTTGGGTCGGTTTACTGGCATTTTTTCAACTGACCCGACCTGGTCGGTTTACCTAGAAATGAAACCGAAACTGACCCTATACTAAGTAAAACCGACCTAGTCGGTTTTGTGAATGATTCTTTCGGTGTGAACGGTAAAGGATTCAAGTCTAAGAAGCGAAGGCTGGATGCTTGGAAATTAAAAATGATTTGATAGATTAAAGCTGAAATTTTATATATAATATGTATATTTTCAAAAAAAAGCTGAAATATATATATATATATATATATATATATATATATATATATATATATATACATATCTGAAATATTATATATATAATATATATCTAAGTCGGTTCGGTTTCGGTTTTCACACATGAAAACCGAAATTGAACCAAACCATCAATTTATGTTTTTTTGTAACCCAAAACCAACCGGTGCTGAAGAAAAACCAGTCGACTCGGATTGGTCAGTTTGGTTGGTTTGGATCTTGTTATAAACAGCCCTAATGGCCTTTGAAAATTTAATATTCCCAACCCAACCCGACCCAAATTGCATCCCTAAATGGGGTGAGGTGGGGGGTCACCTGTTTAACCCGTCCATCAGTGTCATCTCTAGCTGTTTTGTTAATCCTTGATTTCTTTTCTCATGCACCAGTACCATCTTTTTGAGGAATATCCCTCCCCACAGAAGAAAAATAGTTTAACAAGAAGTCAAGAATAAACACAAAAAGCTCATGAAAGAAAGAAGACATACCAAAAGGCATCAGTTTCTTTTTTTAGACAAGTAAAGTATTTAATTGTTGTCCTTCAAACCTCTAGCACCATGAACAACACTTACCAAGCAATACAAAACCAATGCTCTGTTTTCTTAGTAGGTGTTTGGCATCGGTGTTGGGAACATCACACTGTTTTATGAGAAAAACGGTACTAGACATGTGGAGTTGTAAGCACCGTTTTCTCATTTTTGTTTGGAATTGATGTTGTTACATAGACATTTTTTGAAAAAGCAGCACTGGTTTTGTTTGGTACTAATGCTAACATCAATGTTTTCAACATTGATCTATATTATCCAACGTCCAAGATAATACCACATTGATGTCATGTCATTTAATGGCTGGCAGCAACACATAGTTTTTTCAGAAAACATTGAATTAAGTATTGCTCCAGACCACACTTTCTCGAATTCTAAAATAATGTCATTTAATGGCTGGTAGCAACACATAGTTTTTTCAGAAAACATTGAATTAAGTATTGCTCCAGACCACACTTTCTCAAATTCTAAAATATATTCTAGAGCAACGTTTTTTTTTTTTTTAAATGATACCAAATAAGATGATATTTCTTGAAGCACCATTTTCTTTAATGTAACACCAACATAGCACTGCTTTCTCAAAAGCGACATTAATACTAACATCGCCAAGCATACACCTAACATGAATCCTTTGTATCTTTATTATTCTAACCAATGATCCATTATACATATTGATGGGTGCCTATGACATAATTTATATAAGTATGTAATGGGTAAATCAGCCCATTATTACATGATAATAATGGGATCCTTTTAAGCTTCAACCATGGGATTCCAAGCCTGTGATTGAGAGATGATGGCCTGTAATCTTTTTTATTTTTTTCCTTTCATTTTTGACCTTTTCCTCTTAACCCATTTGGGGTGATTGGCAAAATACTTCACTTACTAGAAAGAAAACAAGAGAAAACAAACAAGCCTCCCTACAGAGAGAGAGTGTGTATGAGTTTGACACCTAAAGATGCTTACTTAACACTTTAACAGAAAATCCTAATAGGGACGTATTTATCTCACATCACATGAAAACCAAACAAAAAAGATAACCCTACAAAATACAAATTATTACAAGATATCTAAAAAGGGAAAAAATCTACAAGGGTTTATTTATTTGTCAATAAAATAAAATAAAAAAATTAAGGAAAGAAATGCGAAAAAGAAAGAGGGAATGAGCCAATGAGCTAAGAAAACAGATATAAATCTCGCACCTTCAATCTTATTTTGTGTGGCTTTCTCCGTGCCAAACCCATATCAAAAATCCTATCTTTTCGATCGAAACTACAGACGGTAATTGGGATATGGAAGGAGGGGAGGAAGGAAAAGAAAATTGAAAAACGAAAAGAAAACCCTAATCCTAATCTATCATTTCCAGCACTTCGGCATCTGTGTATTTGTTGGTAGAAACAAAAGGTTACGTCCATGGATTCAAAGGCTTCTGTCCCGCTTTACGCAACAGAGGAGGCCCCATTACCAGCGGAGACATCCCAGCAACACCACCACCCACCAGTTAAGGTCTCTCTATCCCGCTCACCAGGTATCCGAGCTCCTCCTTTTTATTTTGATATAGAAAATGATGAAGATAATGTTGGTGATAAGAAAAGCAATGGTAGTAGCGTTAGCAGTCGCAGTACCGAAGGTAGTTATGAGTCCGAGGGCTTCGTGAGCGGTGAGGACGAGTTCGAAACCGCTTCAGAGAGGCCATTTATTGCAGACCCAGATGAAGAAGCTATAGAAGTGGCTATGGAGGGGGAAGACGCTGGCATCTCTTTCGTTAGGGATGGCCAAGTGGAAGAGGTGACTGTCCCTTTTTTCCAATCTGCTTTGGGTTCTTCGAGTTTCTCGCCTCCGAAGACTGTGATGCCTATTGCGAAGCCATCGAGGGAGGACGATGACGTCGAGGATGAGGGGTTGGTGAGCGAGGTGGAGGACGATGGAGTTTCGGGCGTTGCTAGAGTTCCTTCTAGCGAGGAATTACAGGGGTCTGGTGGCATGGTAGAAACTCCAACTCCAAAAGTAAAGGTTTTAGGGGATGAGGGAGGAGAAGAAGATGAATCTTCTTTGGGGAGGGATTCTGCCCCTTCTGAAGGATTGACTTCGGGTTTTGTCCAATCGGGACTGGGCAGGGATGGGGTTCCTGAACCACTTGGAGTTGCTGGCAATGATTCTGAGACTATTGAAGAAGGCAGCGGCACTGAAAACCCTAAACCTGAAGCTGGGGTTTTGGATTCTGCAGAGAAAGAACCTACGGGAGAAGCAAATTCAGTTTCGGATGAATTGGGTGAGGACCAGGTTCCCATCAGTACAAATTCTTGTGTTGAGGATTCAGCCGCAAGTGAACAAGATAACTTGCCAGAAAGTGCGAAGTTGAACGAGGATGCAAACCCTGCAGGCCAAGGAAGCCCTGTACCTGAAAAGCACGAGTTAGAAGGGACCGAATTGAAAGATATTTTGGAGGAAAATAAAAATGATGCTTTGGGTGGCAGTTACACTGTTGAAGTGCATTCTTCAATTGAAGGCGAATTTTCTGTTGATTCTAAGCAGAACTCTAATGTAATTGCAAAAAACCCGAGTTTGGATGGTGAAGCTGATCAATCAGTCCCTGTCATCGAAGAATCTGTAGATTCAAATTTCATCAAGGCAGATAATACGAATTCTGTCACTGGTGGAGATTTGGTTGTTGAAACCAGACAACCCATTTTGCTAGGTTCAGAATCTGGTGTTGTTGGAGACAAAGAGGAAAATGATGCTTCTGAAGTTAAAATTGTAGAGCAACCGGTGGGTCCAGAATCTGGTGTTGTTGGAGATAAAGAGGAAAATGAAGCTTCTGAAACTGAAGTGGTGGAGCGACTGTTGGACTCAGAATCTTGTGTTGATGGACACACAGAAGAATACAAGGCTTCTGAAACTGAAGGGGTGGAGCGACTGCTGGGTTCAGAATCTGGTGTTGTTGGAGATAATGGAGACTACAAGGCTTCTAAAACCGAAGAAGTGGAACAACCAGCAGAGAAAAGTGTCAGATTGGGTACTGGATCTGATCAATCCAGTCATGTTGTTGAAGAACCTATTCTTTCCAAGTTGATTGAGGCAGATACTGGTGTTGCAAAGATAGAGGAAGTCAATGCTGTTGAACATGAAGCAGCAACCAACCCTGTCCATGAGGCCAAGGAACTAGGATCACTTGAACCAATAACCAACAAGGCGGGAGTGGTGGAAGTTGATGTTTTGGACACCGGATCTACTTCTGTTGATACTATAATGGCTGTATCTGCAGATGTCCACGAAGGGGAAAGGGATGGTGCTGGTGCTGATGAAAGTATTTGTCTAGATGAAGATGAAAACACTGGGATATCTGAACTTGAAAGTGAGCAACAGACTGCTGCTTCAGGAGCTGATGCAGATGAATCCACCCTGGACTCAGCTATTAATGGAGTTGCTATTAATTCCACTGGGCCTGTTGCGGAGGAGTCCAAGCATTTAGAAAATGGCGATGCCTCCATAGCTGCTCAAGGTTATGAATTGGAAGATGGGATCTCTAGCAAATTAAACAGACCTCAATCCATGGTACCGGTTTCCATCCTAGACCCAGAAATAAAGCAGGAAGCTGAAGTTCAAGACCTAGAAGGAGGAGATGATGATGAAGGACCAGTTTCAGATGAAGAAGCTGAAGGTGTGATGTTTGGAAGCTCTGAAGCTGCCAAACGGATCATGGAGTTGGTGCAAGGAACAGGCACTGGTTCTCACTTTAGTTCTGAAAGCTTCCTTGATCATTCTCAGAGAATTGATGGACAGATTGCTACGGACTCAGATGAAGAAGTGGAAACTGATGAGGAGTCTGATGGGAAAGAATTATTTGATTCTGCTGCCTTGGCTGCTCTTCTGAAAGCAGCAACTAATGCAGGGTCAGATGGTGGCAGTATTACAATTACCTCATCAGACGGTTCCAGGCTTTTCTCTGTTGAGCGTCCTGCTGGTTTGGGATCCTCAATAAGGTCTCTGAAGCCTGATTCCCGACCAAATCGTCCCAGCATTTTTACTCCTTCAGGCCTCACAGCTGAGGGGGAATCGGAGGACAATTTGAGTGAAGAAGAAAAGAAGAAGCTGGAGCAGTTGCAACTCATTAGAGTGAAATTCTTGAGGCTTGTCCAGAGGCTAGGCCATTCTCCTGAAGACTCCATTGTGTCACAGGTTCTATACCGGATGGTTCTAGCTGCAGGAAGGCGAACTGGTCAAGTATTTAATCTGGAAGCTGCCAAGACGACAGCAATGCAGATGGAAGCAGAGGGCAAAGATGATCTGATCTTCTCTTTGAACATCCTAGTACTTGGAAAAACTGGAGTAGGCAAGAGTGCAACCATCAACTCAATTTTTGGTGAAAAGATGTCTGTTATTGATGCATTTGAACCTGCCACAACTACAGTGAAGGAGATTGTCAGATCAGTAGATGGAGTTAAGATCCGGATCATTGACACTCCTGGTCTCAGACCTTCTGTGATGGAACAATCTTTTAACAGGAAAGTCCTATCATCTATAAAGAAGTTCACCAAGAAATGCCCCCCAGATATTGTCCTTTATGTAGACCGGCTAGACACCCAGACCAGAGATCTTAATGATCTGCCATTATTAAGATCAATTACTAGTTCTCTTGGCTCATCAGTATGGCGCAGTGCCATTGTCACTTTGACCCATGCTGCTTCAGCACCCCCAGATGGGCCATCTGGGTCCCCCTTGAGCTATGAGGTTTTTGTTGCTCAACGTTCCCACGTTGTACAGCAGTGCATTGGGCAAGCAGTAGGTGATCTTCGTCTAATGAATCCAAGTTTGATGAATCCAGTGTCTCTTGTTGAAAACCACCCTGCATGCAGAAAGAACAGAGAAGGTCAACGAGTTCTTCCCAATGGTCAAAGTTGGAGGCCCCAGTTATTGCTCTTATGCTACTCTATGAAGATCTTATCTGAAGTGAGTTCCTTGTCGAAGCCTCAGGATCCATTTGACCAGAGGAAGCTTTTTGGCTTCCGCATCCGCTCACCACCTCTACCCTATTTGTTGTCTTCACTGTTGCAGTCCCGTGCCCACCCAAAGCTATCTGCTGATCAGGGTGGTGAGAATGGTGATTCTGATGTTGACTTGGGGGATTTGTCTGATTCTGACCAAGAAGAAGAAGAGGATGAATATGACCAGCTCCCACCGTTCAAACCACTGAGGAAAGCTCAGGTTGCTAATCTCAGCAAGGAGCAGAGGAAGGCATATTTTGATGAGTATGATTATCGGGTAAAGCTTCTACAGAAGAAACAATGGAAAGAAGAGGTTAAAAGAATGAAGGAGATGAAGAAAGGCAAGGCTAGTGATGATGATTATGGCTATATGGGTGAAGATGTGGATCAGGAAAATGGAAGTCCCTCAGCTGTGCCAGTTCCATTGCCTGACATGGTCCTGCCACCTTCATTTGATGGAGATAACCCAGCTTACAGGTATCGGTTCTTGGAACCAACATCACAGCTTCTAGCAAGGCCAGTTCTAGACACACATGGGTGGGACCATGATTCTGGGTATGATGGTGTAAGCCTTGAACAGAATCTTGCAATCGCTGGTCAGTTTCCAGCAGGGGTTGCTGTTCAAATCACCAAGGATAAGAAGGAATTCAACATCCATTTGGATTCTTCAGTTTCAGCCAAACATGGGGAGAACGGGTCAACTCTAGCAGGCTTTGACATCCAGACCATTGGAAAACAGCTTGCATACATCCTCAGGGGTGAGACAAAATTTAAAAATATGAAGAAGAACAAGACTACAGCTGGGATATCTGTTACTTTATTAGGTGAAAATGTGGCCACTGGACTCAAAATTGAGGATCAGATTGCAATTGGAAACCGCCTGGTTTTGGTTGGGAGCACTGGGGCAGTTCGATCTCAAGGTGATGTGGCATATGGTGCCAATTTAGAGGCCCGCTTGAGGGAGAAGGATTTTCCAATCGGTCAAGACCAGTCCACTTTGGGGCTTTCTCTGATGAAATGGAGGGGGGACCTGGCACTGGGGGCTAATCTGCAGTCTCAGTTCTCTGTTGGAAGTAACTCAAAGATGGCTGTTCGTGTAGGATTGAACAACAAGCTAAGTGGGCAGATAACAGTTAGGACAAGCACTTCAGAGCAGCTTCAGATTGCACTCATGGGTATTCTTCCAATTGCCACTGCAATCTTCAGGACCATCTGGCCAGCTAATGAGACATACTCAGCATACTAGATCTTATTTCCTTCTTTTATAGTCACTGGTCTACTTCAGGAGGTTATCTTAAGATAGATTAAAAACAAAGTATGGTTTAGTCATTTATGTCTTTCTTTATTTCCCTGTAGTAATGCTTCATTATATTTGTTAGAACTCCTGTTATTTACATTTGATCTTATTAGGCATGATGGATTGTAGCGAAAATGAGGTGGAACCAAGAGGGCATTGAATAACAATATTCGACATTTGATGAGCTTATCTATTGCAATTGGTTTAGAGCTTCCTAACAAAATTTTCCATGGTTTGTTTTGGTTGAAACCAACCTTGATGATATTTTGATCTTTGTGTTGGTTTGACTATTATTTGGTTTTCTAATTCTTTGCACAGGTTTTCTATTGACATCGTTGTGTTGGGTTTGACTCATGTTTCTGAAGAATGAAGTACATTGAAATTCTTAGACGCATTCTGGTGATGTCCTTATTTGTCTGACTTCATTCGTATATTTCTTCCATCTGGAGTGCAAATCGATTTTTGGTTTAGATTGGCCCAATTTCTTCTTCACTTTTTTGCTTTAAAAAAATGTTCACTTATTACATTTGGATTAACGGATTAGGGGTGATTAGTATAATCGTGGTTTACAATAAAAATGGTGCCATACTGCCATTTTAGGATTACAAAATGAGCACTTAACAAAGCGATTTGGAATCCTGGTTTATATAGGGGTTTATTTCTACTTGTTAAATCCAAGGTTCAAAAAATCGTTAAGTATCGACCACTTCTCAATATCGGGTCAGGGCCTGATTCAGAGGGTCGACCCCTCCGAACTAAAATAAAAAATAAAGTAAAAGTTAAAAAAAAAGGACTGATGCTGGCCGATACGCTAAAGGAAAATGAAATGATTTCCTTTCAAATTAATGGATCATTGAACTTCATCTCTATCGAAATGCAAGCTCTGAATGATTGTTTTCTCCTTGTCAGCGATACAGAATTAATTAAAAAAAGAAAGGCAAAAGGCACAGATAGAAGATCGTTTAGGTGGCGGCCTGGTTGCTTGTCTCGTGATCTCATCCATTTAACGTGTCATAAAATTGTAAAGGCAGTGTTTGAGTTGAATAAAGTGATTTGATCCCACTCTTGATAAAAAGGTCTTAGCGAACAAGTCCCACTCTTGATTTCAGTCCGCAGCAGAGCAATTGAGATTTGAGCAGGGTCAACTTTTTTTTTCGGTAACAAGGTTCTCTTAATTCCACCTCATGCAGTTGCATTGATTTTTTTTTTTTTTTTGAAATTTCATATTCCCTTGGTTAAACTACTTTTAAGTGAAAATTTATTACAATGAATGATCAATAGCGATGAAGACTTAGTTAACTTTGAACCATGGCCATCAAATATGAATCATTGCTATTACTAGTAAAACTTTCATGCCAAATCCACCTCACCTGCAATACAAGCAATAAGAAAGCTTCGTTTAGAACCTGAGCCTGATCACCGTTTTAATGTTTTAACTACGAAAATTAACAGCTACAATCAGGAAAAAGGGGAAAACTACTTACAGTGGTAAAGGGATTATTAGCATTCACTAAGCGAAGATTTACACGCCGTCAACAACCTTAATTCCAGCTCTCTTGTCCCATTCCTCTGGTGCGGCAACATCAGCCATTATTTTCTCTTGACCACGCCAAAGAATCTGAGTGACAAGAACCAACAGTCATGAGAGGAGGTTAAAGGTGTTAACAAGCCACCTTACAAAAAGGAGGGGAAGGAGCTTACCTTGTCAATGACACCAAACTCTTTAGCCCTTGTGGAATCCATATAAAATGGTCTCTTCATTGCATTTGTTACAGTCTCAATGGGCTGAAGGAGGAAGTTAAGGTATGAGTGTCTTCATGTTTATCTTTTTGTAATTTGTAAATAGAATTAAAGAAACTTATATAAAAAAACGTTGCACTTACATTTCCGGTATGCTTTGCCAAGAGTTTAGTGAGTGTGTCCCTATTTGTTATGACCTACAAATGTTTTAAAGCAATATGAGCATCTTCTGAAACAGAAGTACAGGAAAGAACAAAATTAAAGGCCATTACCCAATGTTGGTCCTAGCCATCAGGGGTTTTAGGAGGGGTGGACTGGATACAGACCTAACCTTTGGCATCTTTTTTCACAAAGTGACCACTTTCTGACTTGAATCCATGTTCCTATGCTTCCCAAGAGTTTACCATAACACCAAGCAATGTATCCAAAAAATTGAAACCAGGGTTTGGATTCCTTATTAAAAAAAATGACCAGGAAGTCAAGCTGACAAGGGGAGAGGTCAAACTGGTTAATCATTCTGGACCAACCTGATAATGTCAATGACTTAATTCACACATGTAATATATGCATACATATAAATACATATGTGCATTAGATACACCTTCATCATCATCCAAGCCTTATCCCAACTATATGGGTTCGGCTAGTAGATACACCTTGCCATTGGTTATATAATATATGAGAATCCCTTGCTGAAGTTAACCCAAGTCTCTTAACAATCATCTCACCTATCAAAATCCATGCTACTTCCCTTCAGATATGGCTTATTCAGGTTTTCATACTAAAGTATATTAGTTTTTTGAGCATATTATTTTTATGCTAAAGCCATGCATGCATATTATTATTTCAGATGCATTACTTATATATTTACATGGATGATATAACTTTTTTGTCTAATAAAGGAAGCCATGCATGCAAAAGCATGTTCCCTATTGCAAATTAACAAACTTAGGTTGTGTTTGGTACCATTGCCACTTCTACTTACAACATAGTGTTGGTCGATACAAATTTTTGAGAAATTGTCTTGTCACATCACATTAGATAACTACTTCCACTAAAAACATATAAGCATTGGATTAAGTGTTGGAATTTATAGTAGAAACACCAAATTTGACGTTTCCTGGAGAAGCAGCAGTGGTACCCCCAATGTTGTATTTATCACTCAAATCATCTGTTGGTAGAAAAAAATATATTCTCATAAAACTTGTTTTGACCAACCTAAAATGTTGCAAGTGGCAATCGTACCAAACACAACCTTAGTCTTTACCTGAGCTCATGTACAGCATGTTAACATGCACCATGTACCCTGAGGATGTGCATCTTCTCAAGGGCACATACACCTCACTATTGCTCTAAATTTACTAACCAATAATTAATAGCTTGCACTCTTAGTTATAACTTTTAACGATAGAAATACATGTTTTCAAATAACAGATAGAAGATGCAGACTTCCAAGAGAGTCAATGCAATAAAAGGCAAGGATGTCAGAAGACGTTCATCACAAACCTCTTTTGCACGAATAAGAACATCACTTGCTGGCATTAATCCAGATGATGGGACACGAGGTTGCTGAATCATGGCTGAGACAGGTTTAAGCAAAGATTGATACATGTTTAGAGATTTTAGAACCAAGAAATTATGAATCAAATGAAATGTTAATGATGCCTCAAACAAACCTTTGGCATGTGGCATCATAAAACGTCTACCCTTCTTTCCTGCTGCAAGTAGGAGACAAGCCTGACCAATGGCAGCCCCAACAGCAACTGTTTGTATCTGCATTTACAGCATCAACTGTTCAGAACTTCCATTTGGCCATTAAACTATTTTAGAATTATAAACTATTTTAGGGAATGGAATCCTCCAGAGATCAATCTCAATGGTTTATGACTTGGTATACATGGTAGAAAACTATTTTTGAATTATAAACTAAGCCTTATGCTAGTTGACATGTATATATATAGTCACCTCAACATGCACAACTGCACATACTGTTCCTAAAAATTGCTTAAAACTTGAAACCTAGATAAAGAAGTTGAAAAGAGGAACATGTTTTCACTTCTAAAAGCTGGAAGAAATAAATACAGATCTAGGATCAAATAAATAATACCTTTTATTCAATTACTTACAAGAAGACACTATCAACAGATTGCAGTGGGAGATCTTACTAATCTATGGCTGAAACTTCAAGGCTCTACACCAAGACAGATCAAGATGATGCTAGACCCTATCATACTCCTTTATAGCAAGATCATTCTTTAGGAAGCTACACTAGGATGCACTACACATTTAGTCAGTGATTTTCCTAATACCCAGATTTGGGAGTTCAATTCCCCATCAAAGGTAACCTTCATGGTTTGGACTAAGGGTGTTCATGGTCCGCTTTGGAGAAGATCTCAGACTAAACCAGTAAATTATGGTCTGAATAGTTCTCAGACCAAACCAAACCATTCTAGTATTTGGTCCAGTTTCTAATATGGTTTGGGCCATTCTATTGGGCTTAACCCAATTAGAAATCCAAAAATAGCATACATTCATGCATAAATAACAAATAAAATTCAAATACCAAATTGACATGTTAAGAAATGCCACCTATTAAGGTCAATTAAATTGCATTCACAATTTATCAAACATAAACAGGTCCTTAGGCATCAAACTACAAGTTAAAAATTGAAACAAACAACAACAATGTATGAAATACTTATATAGTTTAGAGTTATGTAATATGTTTAAATGTTAAAAGAATACTTATGTTGTGTATATATAACTAACTATATTATACATGCTTAAATGTATGTAATATATATATATATATATATATATTAATAATTCGGTTTATGGTTTGGTTTCTGAAATTCAGAAACAAACCAAACAAGAAAATTATGGTCCGAGAATTCTCAGACCAAACCAGACCATTTTCTAAGGCCAGACTAGATCAAACCACCAATTTCAGTTTGGTTTGGTTCAATTTGGCAGTCTAGACCATATAATGAACACCCCTAGTTTGGACTGTCACACCTAGGAAATCTAACAAAGGATAAGCTAGTGGCTATTCTTGCATTGCAAATTCTGCACCTCCATTAGGGGTATGGTATGGATACTTTCAAAGCAAAATGGTGTTTCCAATGAATAGTGAAAGAGTTTCTGCTTGTCTGGGATATTTGGCGATTATGAATAAAATAGAGAAGAAGCTTGGGAACATATAATTCCAATGGCTTCTGTATGCACTCCTTGCACAAGAATATTTGGCAACAGACTGCACAATAAAAGGAAGCAGTAAAAGGTTTCATGGCAGGATATACTCTTAGCTAGCAACTGAAAGAGTTCAGGGAAAAATTCCATCAGCTTATTATGGTATTGGATTATTAAGTAGGAACATGGACACTAGCCTATACTTGTAACACTTGTTATACTATGAGTTTTCTACTATATATTCATCTATAATACCATCTTGTTGCACATGAGCTCAAATGTGGAAGGGGTGGAATGGCCAAGACTGGATGATGAGAAGGCAAAGTGGTTGAAAAGGAATTTCAAGGAAAAAGAGATAAAGCAAGCTGTCTTTCTAATGGATAGACCCAAGGCTCTGGACCCAGATGGCTTTTTATCAAGATTATTAGGAGGTGCTAAAAGAAGATTTAGTTGAAGTTTTTAAGGAATTTGCAGATAACAACATAATAAGCCCTGGAGTTAGTGTCACATTCTTGGCCTTAACCCCTAAGAAGATTGATGCCAACCACCCAAAAGATTTTAGGCCTATTAGTCTAGTGACAAGCATCTATAAAATTCTAGCTAAAGTGCTCTCGTTGAGGATCAAAGAAGTTCTCCCATCCATCATCAACCAAACTCAAGGGGCTTTCATTTAAGGGCAACAAATAACAGATCAGATTCTAATGTGAATGAATGTGTGGAGGAAATGAAAAGGTTTAGGCAAAGAAGTTTCATTTGTAATTTGGATCTTGAAAAGACTTATGACTTGGTGGATTGGGAATTTTTATCAAAGGTGATGAGGAATTGTGGGTTTGGGGACGAGTGGTGTAGTTGGATACTTGCGTATCTTAGTACTTGTCACTACTCTATATTGGTCAATGGTGTGGTGAAGGATTTTTTCCAGCTTGCAGGGGTGTCAGACAAGGGGACCCACTCTTTCCTTTCATATTTACTTTAGTAGCCGATGTGATTAGTAGAATCATTACTAAGGTCGATAGAGGAGAGTAGGGAGAAACCAGATCCCAATCACCCATCTCCAGTTTGCAGATGACTTGATGATTTTTTGTGAAGGAGGTATTAGCGAGAAGGTAACAAACTTAAATGAACTAATCAAAGGTTTTGAAAGAATCTCTAATCTGAAAATAAATTTGGAAAAGAGTTGAAAGCGGGTATTAACTTGGAAGATGGGGAGACTAAGGCTATTGCGGAGTGTCTTGAGTGTTCCATCTCTTCTTGGCCTATGTCCTACTTAGGGCTTCCATTAGGGGTAAATCCTAGGGAAAGCAGATTTTGGACTCCAGTGCTAGAAAAAGTTTGAGAAGAGATTAGCTTTGTGGAAGAACATTTAATCTCTTTGGGAGGTAGCATCACTTTAATAAGAGCTACGTTGGCTAATTTACCCACTTACTTTCTGTCTATCTTTAGGATACCACCTAAGGAAGCTAGGAAGCTGGAGAAGTTGATGAGAGATTTCCTATGGGAGCTAGGAGAAGGAAAAAAAAAGGACCATTTGGTTAAATGGGAAATTGTATGTTTAAGTAAAGAAGAGGGGGGTTTGGGAATAGGGAGGGTGGTTGAAAAAATCAAGCTCTATTGGGGAAATGGCTGTGGTGATGGCCATTGGAAAGCGAGAGAAATTGACATGAAGTGGTGGGAAGTATTCATGGGAGCTCAAAGAATGGGTGGGATGGTGGTGTATTAAGGCAGGCTAACTTGGCAGCACCCTGCAAGGCCATTCACAACACCCTTCCTCAATTTCTCAGGTTTGTTAGGTATGAAGTTTGTTCTAGTAACATTGTTCCATTTTGGGAGGACATCTAGGTATAAAACACCCCACTAAAGGACCATTTCCCTTTGTTATTTTTTGTTTCGCTATATAAAAAAGAGGTGATCTCAAAATTTGTCTCATCTTCGGGAACACCTATGGCTCCTAATTGGGTTTTTAGGTTTTGTAGGGGATTAAGGGATGATGAAATTGAATCCTTCTCTGACTTGCTTTCTCGTCTTAATCAGGTTCGCTTGGATCCCTCCAAGCCAAACAAAAGGGTGTGGGCTCCTAGGCCCAAAGAGACCTTTACTTGTGCTTCTTACTTCAAGTCCATCTCTACGTCTTCTGTCCAACAGCTTTTTCTGTCAAAGGAAATTTGGTGCAGGCCAGTTCCCCCAAAGATTATGGCTTTTTGTTGGGAAATGTACTATGGGAAAGTAAACGCTCTAGATAACTTACAAAAGAGAAGACCTTTCCACTGTATTTCTCCCAACCGATGTACCTTTTGTATAGCTCATGGGGAGGATTGTTACCATCTACTAATGTCTTGTCCATTCTCTGCAGACTTATGGGCTTGGTTACTTTCATTGTTTGGGAGTAGTTGGAGCTTTCTAGTAGAAGTTTGCATGATCATTTTGACCATTCTACCTTCTCTTGGCCTACAAAAGAGGGAAAATTATGTGGAGATGTGCTTGAGCAGCCCTGATTTGGACATTATGGGAAGAAAGGAATGCTAGAATATTTCAAGACAAGGAAAGGAGCAGCCAGGAACTGAAAGACTGTGTTGAATAGGGCAATACTTTGGCTGAAGACTTTGGAAATTTTTCATCAATTCTCATATAATGACTTCTGGAGAAACTGGTTAGCAGTAGTGAGGTGGTCTTCCTTTAAGAACAAAATAGTTACAAGGTGGTCTCCTCCGTCTAAAGGTTCATTGAAGCAAAACTTTGATGGAAGTAGTTAGGGTAACCTAGGGTTATCTGGAATTGGGATTCGGAGATTCTGTTAGGGCAAAGCTATTAGCTGCTGTACAACGGGTGTAATTTGCAAAAAAATTGGGGGTAGAGCATTTAATAATTAAAGGGATTCCAAGGTGGTTGTGGGCTGAAATATCCTGAGGATACCATATGGTGCTACAAGAATGAAATTAAGAAAGGTACTGAAAAACTCGGTGGTTATAGGCCAATCAACGTCATTGGTGGCATTTACAAGATAATTGCCAAGGTTCTCGCTAGGAGACTCAAACCAGTGTTGGGGAGCATAATTTTAGACAGTTTAATGTAGTTTGATAAAACTGCCTATCAAGAGGAGATGAAATTGAGGCAATGGTCCAAATGCTTATGGCTAAAGGAGGGTCACAACAAGACTCAAACCAGTTTTCTTGAGTCTCCACGGAGACTCAAGAATATCATCGAGGAGTGTCATCATCTTTGCATGCTGATGGATCTGAATGTTAGGTACTGACATGTCTACCGTGATGCGAATCAAGCGGCAAATTGGTTGACTCATATCTCTCTGTCTGGTCATGATTTATCTATGGGCGAGTTACCTAGTGATCTTATTTATATCTGTTTTTGTGATGCTTGGGGACGTGCTACCCCCCGTCTTGTCTAGCCCCCTTCGACCTATCAAAAAAATGTGCATTTGTGGAGTGAAGGTTCATGATGGATGGGTTACTAATCGCGAATGAGTTGATTGGTTCAAGATTAGTAAGTGGAGGGGCTGGTTTGTTGTGTAAAGTGGAATTTGAAAATGCCTATGATCACATCACTTTGCAGTTCTTGGACTGCATATTAAG